ATTTTAGGCTAACAGGTTAATCACACATAGCTGGAGAACTACTCAAATTCTATTATTTCCTGTTTTTTCCTCATGGTTACTGTGAAATTGTGTGAATGCATCAATGCAGTGCATGTGATCTCTGGATTCACTGAATGAGTTTACTAAAAATGTAAATATTGCAGAATATACAGCCTCATGCTACATAACTAAGCACCATTTCATGCTCAATAAACAAAATAATTACTGTATCTTAAATAGAAAATTATCTTTAGATAGATTTTTACGCCAAAAGCATTTTATTAAGATAGATTTTTACGAAAGGTCCGCCTCTTCCATTCATAGAGCACTTTTCATTGATGGAAGCTATAGTACAACTTTCATGAGTGGAGAACAGGGGCTTAGCAACGCTGCACTCTTGACGAGTGCTTTTGATGGGTCCAGCAGCTGTATCAATCACTGCAGCATCAGAGGATTACCGCTGTGGGGGGGGAGTATGTAGGGGTGGGGATAGAGGACAGATGAGAACAGCCACCACAAGCACCAGCATCACAAGGGACACTTCTCATTAAAATTTAAAGCGGGTTTAAAAATAAAAAAAAAATGCCCTGCAAGGTAATGTAATAATGTGCTAATATGCATCGCATACTACCAAATTGTGAAGGACTTACCTTAACCTCCCTAGCAGTATGATTCTGTGCTCAAAGCAGTACTTTTTTTGCATGGAAATATGTCGTTTTTTTTATTGTAGGCCTGTAATTTTTAGGAATAACTCACTGAAATCTGTCCGAACAAGAGTCTAGTAAACATCCCGGGTATGATAAAATTTGAAACACAAAAACATAAATTATAAATATAATAAAATCAAAAAATAGTAATAAAAAATTTTATTCAATAATATAAATCAAACCAAAAACACTGAAATTTGAAATAGAGCGCCAACTACGCACATCACTGAGCTTAGTCGCAAAATCGTTTTCAGTGTCTGATGAATTTCCCCACGAATCATTATCACTCAATTCTGCAAGTAGTTCTGATTTACTATCGCTGTTCTCTAGCTGGTCTAAAACCGCTTTTTTGACCTAAAAGGGAAGCTTTTTGGACGCCATGGACTTTTCTCAGTTTCCAGGCAGAAAGAACAGTAAAAATGCAGGCAGGGCACAGGACAAAGCACTGGGGACAAAATGTATGTGAAATGGTTTGATACAGTAATGTTTTACTATGTATTTTTAGTGTATTTCATGAATGTCGCTTTTTTAAAAATTGAAAAATTTCCCGTACGTCCCAACGCTGGCAAGGACAGGAACCCGGAAGACAGATGCCGGCATCAGCTGGAGGAGATGTCCGGGGACAATGCAGGGAGGACATCGCGGGAGCGAAGGACAAGGTAAGTGAAACAGGGATCACAGATCAACGCTGCAGGGTAATCCCGAGTGTAGCTTGGAGTTACCACTTTTTGCACTGATAATTAACCCCGAGCTACACTCGGGAATACCACCAGGGAGATTAAAACAAAGCCCTCCAGTGGCACACGGTCACCGCTAACAGGGCTTCCATCTTCACCCGGTCTTCCTTCCGGTTCACGAGCTCCAGCCATCTGACTGGCCAAAGTCGCGATTACGTCACTCCTGGGCATGATGCTGGAAGTAAATTACACCAACATGACACTGGTCTTATTTTCTTGGAAATTGTTGCATGCGTTACATGAATGTGGCTCTAGATTCCCTAATACAACAATACTGCCATCATTATGTTGCAAATCCTTTATTGAATCACCCCCCACTATTTTGCAGAAGAAATCTTGTTTGTGGTTGATAATGTCACACCAAGGGTTTGTGGATTCTTATAAACTGCACAATATCACCATCTAATCTATGCATTATATAATAGCTAAATTATCACTACGCATCATTTGTAGGTATATTATATTGCAACTTACATGTTGACATGATGGGGGAAAACAAAAAAACTGGGGACCCCTAAAAATTAATATAAACTAAATGAATGAATAGTAAAAAAAAAAAAAAATATATATCTTAAACTCAATGAATGAAATTACAATAGTTTAAAAAAAAAAAAAAAAAAAAAAAAAAAAAAAAAAAAACTGGTACAGTTTAATGACCTGGGCCTATCTAAATCAGTTGTCTTGATTATGGCTTGTATTTCAAATTCAGCTAAAGACTATTGATGAGAACAAACAAATAGCAGTTGCCTAGCTTATTTAAGGTCCATTCACACATCATGGTAGTACATGGTAAAACCACAAACAATGTGGGGCACCACAAAGCACAAGTCATGCCTTAGGGAAAAGAAAAAGAAAAAAAAAAAAAAAAAAAAAAAAGGAGGGATGCCCAGTTTTGTTTGTACGTTCAGGTACACTACCAGCCCATTCAAAATGAAAAATGCCCTCAACATATGTGTTTCAAGGCTAGACATGCCATTATTTTGTCATATATAATCCTTAAAGCCCAATTGAACCCTCAGTTAAGCTCGGTTCACACTAGTGCGACTCTAAAGTCGCGTGGCTTCCAGTGTGACTTTCATCTGACTTTAAATATGGCTTTTCAACTCTATGGCACTCAAGTCACAAGAAAGTCACATCGATGTAGTGCAGGAACCATTTTTTTTTTAAAGAAGCTGCAACTTTAGTTGCATAGATTGGAAAGGGTGCCATTGAATAAATGGGTTTTGACTTGTCATGTGGCTTTAAGTGTTGTCGCATGACAACTTGCTTTAGTGTGAACCGAGCCTTAAATCAGTTAATAGGTACAGTACATCAGGTATATTAAAACTCCATGCATTACAGAACATTTTGTATGCAGCACACACCACCTTACATGCACGGTGTGAGCAGGCCACACAGAAAACAATTGTTTTCTATATGCCCTTGCCTTGAGGCTACATTGATCTATGCAGCTCAAGGGACATGGTGTGAATGAGCCCTATAATGTAAGAGGAGTTAATAAAAACAAGTTACAAATCAGCTCAGCCTGTGATCATGGATTATTAACAAATAGGTATGAGACTGCGTAGGCGATTTTAGAAGCTTTTTTACAAGTGACTTGTACAAGAGCAGATTTGTGTGTCTTTGGCCCCATAGACTTAACTGGGAAAACCTGAAAAACACATGGAAACACATTTTTAATTGTCCCCATTAAAGTCTATGGGGGTCAAAAACTTTTGATTCTGCCCCAAAAGAAGTTCATATAATTTCCACTCAGTTGAGAACGAGGGCGCAGTCAGATGGACATGGAGACTTGTCCTCCTGTGGATCTGAACACATTCACATCTCTGCACACGCAACTGCCCAAGTGTCAAATTCTGCCACGTGACTGTGTCCGTCCAGCTGCATCTGCGTCCACTTCTGTGGACTGCCTGCACACAGCTCCAAAGTGACAGAACACTCAGCAAAGAGCGGCTCAGTGCGCAGAATGAGACCCATCGCCCCTCTCAATGAACCCTTATGGGATCCTTCAACCTCTTTAAACTGGAGTGTCAAGCTTCGGGAATCCAGCAATAAAAATGCACAGGCGTGAACAGATCCTTGATACTTACACCATATCTACTCAGCTACTGTTTAGCTTTGCAAAATTTGCATCTGCAATGTTTACGAAGATCACACCACATCACTTACAGTGAAGTCGCATGATTTCAAAGTCGGATGACATGCCAAATTCAGGTACGATTTGCAAGACATCCAACACAGATGTCTATGCAAGTCGCACCAACAGTACTGCATGTACTACTTTAGAAATCTGTGCAGAGAATGGGCCCCATCTCCCCTCTGATTGAACCCTTATTCGATCCTACAACCTCTTTAAACTGGACTGTCAAGCTTCGGGAATCAAGCAATAAAAATGCTCAGGCATGAACGGATCCTTGATGGTTACACCATATCTACCCAGCTACTGTTTAACTTTGGAAATTTACATCTGCAATGTTTACAAACATCACACCAAACCCGACTTTGAAATTGTGCGACTTCACTGGACACAGGAGTCTATGTAAATCACACCAAAAGTAGTACATGTACTATGGGCAGCACAGTGGCTCAATGGTTAGCACTTCCACCTGGCAGTGCTAGGGTCGTTGGTTCAAAGCCCAATCATGGCACCACCTGCCTGGAGTTTGCATGTTCTCCCTGTGCCTGCGTGGGTTTCCTCCAGGTACTCCAGTTTCCTCCCACACTCCAAAGACATGCAGGTAGGTTAATTGGATCCTGTTTAAATTGGCCCTGGTATGTGTATCTATGAATGTGAGTTAGGGACCTTAGATTGTACGCCCCTTGAGGGTTAGGGACTGATATGAATGTACAATATATATGTAAAGCACTGTGTAAATTGACGGCGCTATACAAGTACTTGAAATAAATGTACTACTTCAGAAATCAATGCGGCTCCGACTAAGTTGAAACCGCATCGATATGACAGCTGTAATTGCGGACAATAGGGTGTGACTCGGCATGCCAATTCACATCCGGTGTGACCAGGGACTTAGGCTGGCCATACATTATACAATTTTCTTGAGATTTTTGGTTTAGATTTACCAAAACCACATAATAGTAGGTCAAACCTAACAACACTTTCAGTTGTATCCAATTAGGCAGGCCCTTGCACTACATAGTTGAAGTTTAAATCTAAAGGAGATTGGGCAGAAAATTGTCTAGTGTATGGCCAGCCTTAGACTAGATTCCCATAAAACACCTGTATCTAGTCTCCAATCAAATTAAGTTTTTTTTTCAAATTGCGGTTAGAATCGCCGTGATTTTAAAATGCACTGTAAAAGTGTGAAAACACATGATCGCATTTTCAGGTGCCATTCATTTCAACATAGGGCGTTTTTGCCACTTGTGTGGCATTTTCCACGCATGGCAGTAGAGCATTCCCTGCAAACTGCTGTCCATGGAAGAACTGTCAGTGAACTAGAGGAGTCATCAGAGATCAGGATCACCATGATCACAGATGGGGTATGCCTGATATCCAGACTTGGGTCCCCTACATGCTCAGCAGTCTACATTGTACAGCTCCAAGCACAGAAAAGTTCATATCCATCAGATCATAACACTCACCTTTAAAGAGCAGCACTTCATGGTTGTTAAAGGGAATATTATTTGCCTTGGCAAAGATGTACACCGAGCGGCATGGCTGGGACATGAGATCCAGGTATAAGGTGAGATCTGCCATGTTGAAGCTGTGCAGCGCCCGACAATCAGCAGAGAACAGAACACAGCACAGCGCCTGGCCTTGTCTTCTAGAGAGGGACACGCCCAAGTCACAGACACGCCCCCTCACTTCTGCTCCAGATTAGTAACTTGAGATGTCATGTACAGGCACACTGACCTCTGATCACAATGGCTTTTGTGGGAAGGATTCTCTGGCTTTTCACATACCAGCAAATGCTGGAATTAAATGCGTGTTTGCTATCAGCTTAATAGGGTTAGTTCACCTTTAATTCACCTTTAAAAACGATCTATGCTTTTTAACTTCTCTAATGTATGAAAAAGCAGTCCTCAGATTCCAAAACGAAGTTTAAGAGACATTAAACGATATAATCCATACATCCACTACTTAGAGCGGTATTAAACCCAAACCCAAACATGTATTCTATTGCAGCACCAATCATTAGATGTGGTGGCTGCATTTGTTTTCTTTTTTAGATTTTTTTTCCCCTTTGTTTTCACCTGGTGATCTGGCCAGTGCTTTCACTCTGGATGAAGGAGCAACAGAGACCCCTTCAGACAGCAGCATTGTCAGTCTGGGGGGCAGGGCTGTGGATAAGGGGGTACCACCATACCACCAGTCCTCCTGTACGGGGCCCAGGCCAGCAGGGGGGGCCCAGGAAGCTGAGTGAATTGGGTGTGGGCAGGAAGGGTGATCAGCACGGTGGCGTGGCAATAACTGGAACCGATCCCCTGCAGCAGCTAAAACCTGGCTTCTTCTCCTCTCCCTCCCACTTTCAGTTGCTGCAGAGAGAACCATAAACAGGATCAGATCCATGTCCAGTAATCGCCCCCCCTGAAGCACCCATCACGCTCCCTGTGCACCATATGTTTTCCCCCGTTCTGCCGGGACCCCCCATGTGTGCCCCCACCACTGCAGTCCTGCCAAGTTCCCTCCTCTCCTTCCCACTAGCAGCTGCAAGCACACAATAGGATCCTTCAGATTGGAGAGTGGGGGAAGGGTCCAGTAAACAGCTCAGTCGCTTCCTTTCCTGAATGAACACAACCAGTGAGCAGTAATGATCACTCACTGTGTTCATTCATAACTGAAGCAAAGTAAACTTTTTTTGGGGGAGGTAGGGGGGCCTGTCAGGTTGGCTGTATGGGGCCCCGTGGTTTCTAACAGCAGCACTGCTAGGGGGAGAGGAGTGTTAGATCTACTAGCAGATTTCAATACACTATCAAATTGAATCCAAGCTCCACATCACTCTTTATGAACAGTTACAGCCAAAAGTTTTTTTTTTCCTGTTGGGATAAACGTTTTACATGAATAAAAGCTGATCATTGATATAGATAAATATGCAGCGCTAAAGAGCAAAAAGTCTCATATAGGCAAATAATGTGAAGGCGCTGATATGAGCACAAACGTTAGTGCAGTGAGATCACGTCTATGGGTGATGTAGTTATATCAATGTGTCAGTGCTAGTAAATCCAATCATGAAATAATAACCTCCATAATATGGTAATCCGTGCTTCGTGACTTGCAATATTGGTGCCAGAATCTGGTAAAGTGATGCACTTAAAAGGAGGAAAGCTTAAGGCTTTTAAATTTCGCCTTCCTGGAATCGGGTTTCAAAGTGTTACTAAACCCAGGACCCTGCATTCACTATATCTGGTCTCCCACAGTACACACAACATGGAAGTGCAGTTATTTTAGTAAATATAAACTGCTAAATACCTTTTCTTATCAGCGGTTAGAGCAGTCTTGTGACTTATATCAGTGTCCAGCAGAGCACTGGTAAAGCTTATAGAAGGAGTTTTCTGTAGGAGGATACAGGACCCCTGACCTCTGTCTGGACAGTGCTGATTGGCCCTGTGCTGATCACATGCACTCTCCCAAGGAAAAAAAAAATAAATCTCTAGCAATACACACCAAACTGAGCATGTGCAGTGTCTCCACACAATATGTCTTATCAGGAGATAAGAGGGGAGCACTGGAAGAAGGGGAGGATCAGAGAAGTCAGAATCAAACATCCTTTTTACACAATGCAGAGGATTAACCCCTTAGGTTCCACAGTGAGTATAACAAGTATGCTTTACTGCATATACAGACTGATATTACTGCTGTGGGTTTAGTAACACTTTAACCGATTGCCAACCGCGCTATAGCTGAAAGACGGCTACAGCGCAGTTGTCCAGTTCTGGGAGGGTGTTCATGGACGTCCTCCCAGAACGCGCCCCTAGTGGTGCGCACCCCGCATTGTTGGTGATCGCTGTGTCCTATGGACACAGCTGATCACATGACAAGGTAAAAGGCCAATCACAGTGGCCTTTTACCACATGACCAGCTGTGTCCAATGACACAGCAGATCACAAAGTAAATACAGTAGCCGGTTATCGGCAGCATTTTCCTCACGCTGACACAGCGTGAGGAAAGTACTGCCGATAACCGGCAGATGTGACAGAAGAGATCTGCTCTGATAATCAGTGCCGCCCAGCAGTGCCCAGCAGTGCCACTCAGCAGTGCTGCCCATCAGTGCCCAGCAGTGATGCCTGTCAGTGGTGCCGGTCAGTGCCGCCCGTCAGTACCGCCTATCAATACCCATCAGTGCCCATCATTGCTGCATATCAGTGCATCATCAGTGTCTCTTATCAATGCCCACCAGTGCCACCTCATCAGCACCGCCTCACCAGTGCCACCTCATCAGTGCAGCCTATCTGTGCCCATCAGGGCTACCTATGAGTGCCGCCTCATCAGTGCCTATCAGTCTGCCCATCAGTGTAGCCTCATCAACGCACATCAGTGAGAGAGAAAAATTACCTGTTTGCTAAATTTTATAATAGGAAGAAATGGCACGCAGAGCAGGAATATTTAGGGGTAACAACAGAATGCTCTCCGGAGGGATATGGTGGCCCTGGATTGCTGTGGGAGAGCCTTACAGATCATTTTGTGTTTGGCTATGAAGGAGAACCTACCCTTGAGGACCTGCAAGAAGACAGAGAGGCTATGTTTGGTCTCACAGGGATCTCAGAGCTTGAACCAGATCTTGAATACCTGCTGATGAAAGAACAGCATCTGGAAACGGCATACAAGCAACTGCTAATACATGTTCAGCAGCATGCCCAAAAATCGGCAGTGGAAATTCCAGAGATTGCCCTCCCCAAACCTGAAGTGCTGACAAAAGGGCAGAGCTCTGCTAGCCTCTGCTTAGCACTGGTAACATCTTCTGGGTTCTGGGTTCCACAGACAGGAGATGGTGAACCCCTATCCCCAGACACCAGTTCCAGAGACTGGGAATTTGATTGACTTCTCTGCTGAGGAAAAACAACCTGGTGAGCCTCCAGCAGAAGAGCTGGCAACAGGGCCAAACATTGCTGAACTCTGCCCAGCACTGGTAACATCTTCTGGGTTCCACAGACAGGAGATGGTGAACCCCTATCCCCAGACACCAGTTCCAGAGACTGGGAATTTGATTGACTTCTCTGCTGAGGAGGAACCAGCCGGTGCGCCTCCAGCAAAAGACCAGGCATCAGGGCATGGCGTTGTTGACCTCTGCCCACCACAATCAGCACTACACGAGCTACAGGAAGAGGATGCAATCGGCACCTCACAACTGCAGCTGGAGCTGATGTCCGTGGATGGGACTTCAGTCTCCACTGACACAACCCCAGAAAAGGGTCTGGCATTGGGACAGGAGGATGTCAGACTTACTTTGCGAACACTGGGAGATGTCCATCAAGTCAAAGTGGATGAGACTACAGTCACCACCTGGATACCCCAGGGATGCTGGGCAGTCGGCCCAGATCCCCAACAGCATGATGGAGTTGGCCCAGTCACCCTGTCTTCTCTTCAGCGGCTGAGAGGACTTCAGGGAGAAGGACCAGTCTGTTCTTCTCCCCAGGACGGATTTGTTCTACAAGAGAGACAGAGGTTGGCTTTGTGTGGGACAAATTGCTTGGGGTACTGTGTGGGTGCTGGCATTGGGGGACTGGAAGTACAGACTAACTTTGGAGTCAACCAGTCTGGGGTCTCCTCCTGTGTTAGTCCCTTACTGAAAGGGGAGATATGTGACAGGAGTAACATTGAGTGGGGGGCCCATGGAACCCAGCTTACTTTGGAGAGGTAGGGAGACCCCTGTCTCAGCTCCCTCTATCCCTCTTATGTGTAAATCACCCTGTGCCTGTTAGGGGTACAGGATGACCTACCCTAATATTGGGGTGGGCGGTTGTTGATTGTTTAATGTTATGTGGCTGCATCCCATTGTTCTATTGTCTGTCTGGCTTGGGAGCAAACTATTATGGGATGTACAGTTGCAAGAAAAAGTATGTGAACCCCTTTTGATTACGTGGAGTTTTGCATGAATTGGGCATAAAATGTGCTCTGAATGTCATCTAAGTCACAACAATAGAAGAACACAGTCTGCTGAACATAATACTACACAAACATTAGATGTTGCCATGGTTTAATTGCACATAACATGTAAACATTCACAGTGCAGGGAGGAAAAAATATGTGAACCTTTGGACTTAATAACTGGTTGACCCTCCTTTGGGCAGCAATAACCTCAACCAAACGTTTCCTGTAGTTGCAGACCAGACCTGCACAACGATCTGGAGTCATTTTGGACCACTCCTCTTCACAAAATTGTTTCAGTGTAGCAATATTCTTGGGATGTCTGGTGTGAATCGCTCTCTTAAGGTCATGTCACAGCATTTCAATCGGGTTGAGGTCAGGACTCTGACTGGTCACTCCAGAAGAAATCGACTATACACAGAGATAACTACTCACATGATGATTCATCTTTATGTAAACATATGGCTCCTTAACCTCATGCTATTCCTGCCTTGCATGGGTATTAGATATAGGGGTTTCAAACCCCTATATCTAATACCCATGCAAGGCAGGCATAGCATGAGGTTAAGGAGCCATATGTTTACATAAAGATGAATCATCATGTGAGTAGTTATCTCTGTGTATAGTCGATTTAATAAATG